CGCCGCCCTCGTGATTTATCTGGATTTTTAATTGGAAAAAATTTGCGAATTAATTGATTTCAGGAACTTGCCAATTAACATTGTAATTGGGTGCGTGATAAATTCCCCAGGAGCGTGTCGGCTCCCTGCGGGCTAGCCGGGGAGGGCCCCAGCCTTGGCGGCCCTCGCCCCGCCCCTGCCCCGCGCGCGGGAGGCGGGAGCCGAGCAGAGGAGGCCGGAGACAGACGGGCACCTGGCTCTCCCCGCCTCTCTCCCCGCCCTCAGCTCCCCGAGCTGGGGGTGGCCTTCTACCAGCCATTTCACAGAGAGGGAAACTGAGTCCTGTAGGAGAGAGCCCGAATGGGGGCATTTCCCCATGCTTGGCACAAGGCTGGAGGCTTCCTCCCCAGAACTTCCCTCTCTGCTCCGTGATCCCTTCTGCTCTCTGCTCCCCCCTCCTCTCCCCTTCTCTCCAGCTGTTCCCTTTCCGCTTACCCTGCCGTTGCCTCCTCTGCCCTCCCTGCCCTCCCTCAGCCCACTTCTGCCTCACCCAGGAGGGACTGTCCCTCCATCCACATGGTTGCTCCCCAAGGAGCCCTTCAGGGTGGGCCTGGTGGTGTACCTTCAATCTCCCTCTGTCCCCCCACCCCAAGCAGGCTGCTTTTTCAGATACCCCCCAGGCCCACACAGAAAAGCAGAGAGAGACCTTCCAGCTCCCAAACTAGGGCTGGCTGCTTCTCACAGACACAGGTGGAAACGTATGTACACGATGTACAGGCACATGCACACATCCCCACTCCAACACCCGCAGATGTGCTCACGCACCGAGAGAACCACTTGCCACAGGCACACGGACACATAGACCCCCACAGGAAGAAGAGTCAGAACTCCTGTTGACAGACTCACACTTTTCAGAGCACCTTCACGTTCGAGATCCAGGGCTATTCCCCTCACCCCATCCTCTCTCTTTCCCCTCTCAGTCCTGCACAGGGTCCCCTTGGACCCCAGGACTCGGCTAGTCAGAACACGGAGGGCAAAGTTAGACTGAGGACGATGGTGGAGGACCTGCGACGCTGCGGGGCTGTCCTAGAGGTGATGGGGAATTGGAACATTGCTGAGCCGCAAGGAGGGAGCTGAGCTGTAGGAGAATCGCTCTGCGGCCAGTGTGGGGCATGAGTTGGAGGGAGAAGCAGGGAGGCCAGGGAGGAGGCCGGGCTGGTCCGGGGACAGGTGATGAGGCTGAGCTAGCACAGTGGCAGTGGCAGCGGGAAGAGGGAATGACGAGAGGCTGGTGGAGAAAGAAGCAAGAGGACTTAGCTGATGACTTGCTGGGTACATAGGAGGAAGAGTTTTTTGACTTGGGTGACAGGAAGGGTAATTATGGCAGAGAAGCAAGTATCTGAGGGAAGGAGACAATGGACAGGGCTCTGGACATGCTAAGATGTGATGGGGTGGAGCTTGGGTGTGTACCGATAAACAGGTAGGAACAGAGATGGAAGCTGAAGATTGAAGGGCAGGTGGGCAGAAGGGTTGCCCCAGACTTCTCTGTGAACCTCAGACAGGAGTTTCCACCCAGAGGAAAAGGCTTTGGACATGGAGAGATTGCACGAAGCTGAACGTGAGGCTTGACTTGGCCGCGTCTGAGCTCAGGCACCTTTTCTGGGAGGCTTCCAAACCCGCTTCAAGTTCTGGCCTCTAGACTGAGAGGCTGGCTCTCTGGTCAGCGCTTTAAAAGGGCTGGAAGGAGCCAGAGGGAGGCTGGGCGACTGTGGAGGAGAGGCGGGGTGTAGAGATGGCAGTGCCCCCACCCCCACTTAAGCCTTATTTAAGGCCGGCCTCGGTGTTTGGTTGGGTAATGAACTAGATAAACAATTCCCCAAATAGATTAAAACGAAGTGTAACTTACAGAGGCGGCTGGTGATGGTGGTTTATTCCCGGGCAGCGCACCATTTCTTTATTTCCAAGGATAATTCAGTGTAAATCACCTTAATTAAAAGTGTCAGCCCAGCCCATGAATATTGTACTTAGGAACGCGTTTCCTGGGTCCCAGTTATAATTTAAAACCCATGGATCACTAGGCAGCGAGTGACTGAGCAAGGGAGGAAATTGTTGGGGGCGGGCTGTGGAAACAGGGAGGTACAGTAGGCAGAGCTGAGCGGATAGGCTGGGCAGGAGGCGGGCTGCCTGCAGCTCTGGGGCTTAGACCTTTCCTCTCCAAGGCTGGTTCTTCGCCAGACTCCTGCCTCTGGGGGACCATGCCCATTTGGAGGTGATCAGGCAGTCAGAGGAAAGGTAGGGCAGGGATGCAGGCTCGGAGAGAGGGAAGAAGTCTGGGGTAGGACCATTCCAAACGAGGGAAAGGAAAAGGAATTCCCAGGAAAAGGTCCAGGGAGACTGGACATTCTGTGTCCCCATTTCTATTTATCAACAGAGTAAACTAAAGCCCAGAGTCAGCAGGACCCTCCCCAAAGCACAGAGAGAAAAAGACCTCAGAGCTCTGCCCTCCATCCTAGCCCCTGAGCATCATTAGGGAGGCAGGGTGGGCCATGGAAAAGTGGCTCTTTGGACTCCATCAGACATTAGCTCAAATCCAGACTATGAGCAGAGAGGTGTCACTTAACCTCTGTTAGTCAACTTTGTAAAATTTCTGTGAAGATTAAGATAACATATATGAAGTACCTAGCCCATGCCTGCTGCATGTGGTGGGTACACAGTAATTGTTCATTCTTTCCTTTTCTGTTCCAACCTGATCCTGCTCAGATAATACTCAGACCTCAGTCCAGGGGTCCGGTGAGAACAATGTCATACAGTGGATGCCTCATTTCTGTATCTGAAGGCCAGGCACAGCGCCTGGCTTGTTGACTGAGGGGATGAAAGAGTGAAGGAATGATGAAAGTCATGAACTCACAAGCTACTTGCTCCTCAAGAGCCCCCCAGTTTCTTCTCCGGATCCCCAGTACCTAGATCAGGGCCGGTCATGGAGCAGGAATACAAGGACCGTTTATGAACAAAGTGCAACTGAATGGAACCTGGTCTGTCTGTCCTTCCCGGTCTGCGATGCCCCCGCTGTGATAAGACAGGCAGACAGCTCTGTTTCTGCACTCATACCTTAGCCTTACCCTGCTGCCAAGCTTAGGGACCCCTGCACTGTGACATATGTGTCTGTGGGGGGGGGGTGTCCATGTGTCTGCCTTCGTCAGTTCATGCGGGTGCCTCTATCTAAGCATTTATGTGGATGTGGGTTGGGGAGCAGCCCTTCACCCAGGTAGGGTGGCTGTTGTGAATGTGTCTTTATGGACATGTCTCTGGGAATAGGACTCTGTGCCTGTGCATCCATTTGCTTGTCTGAGCCGTTGGGTATGACCACATGTATCTGCGTGACTATTTGCAGCATGATAGACGGTGGATGTTTGTGTATCTGCCTTTATACCAGGGTTTCTCAGTCTCGGCACTATTGGCATTTTGGGCTGGATAATTCTTTATTGTGAGGGGCTACCCAGTACACTGTAGGATGGTTAATATCCTCTACCCACTAAATGCCAATAGCAAACTCCCCGCCCCAGGTTGTAACAATCAAAAATGTCCCCAGACATTGCCAAATGTCCCCTGGGGGCAAAATGACCCTGGGTGAGAACGACGCCTTTTCTGCACCTGCCTATCCCTTTGCCTATGTGTTGGGTGTGTCTGTGTCTTATCCTGAGGGTGCTCCCTGTGTGTACGCCCAGCGAGTCCGCCTCTGCCCCATGTGCTCTGCCTTGGGGGGGTGTCTGTGTGTCCGTGCTTTATGGCTCTCTGTGGGTGTGCTTGACGTGGACAGCTTGTGCCTGTGTCTGTGCAGGGACCCGATGCGAACGGGCTGTGTCTGCCTCCGTGCACGTATCACCCAGCGCCTCTGTGTGCGTGTATCTGTGTGTGTGAGGTTGAGCGAGTGCACGTGCGTGAATGTGTGAGCACAGATGTGGTGAGCATAGTGGGGGCAGCGGGGGGGAGGGACAGGAACAGGGATATTAATGTTTCTGAAGTGGATCTGATTTGATACGTCTTGTTCCATTGTCAGCATCTGTTTAGCGGGGATTTGTAATACTTTGTGGCTCTGGATCACTCATGCTTAGCAAGGGATGTGGTCTTGCATACCAATTTTGTTATTAAACACAGTCCTCGCCTCCCCCACAGCCCATCCATCACCTCCCACCCCC